TTTTTTTTTTTTTTTTTTGTTTTGATCGGATTTATTGGAAAAAGCGAGTTAATTTTGAACAAAAAAAAGTTGATTAAATGGAGGATTGAGTGAGACTTTGAGTTTGTATTTAAATAATATTAGTATTAATATCCATGTACAACATGAGTGTTGAGTTAATAAATATATGTGTAAAGTTATTTATGTCTAATACCAAACCTAACTACAGAGTAAAAATGATATAAAAATAACATCACGAAGCATAGATTTTCGTCATGTCAGCATTCGAAGCGTGAGAATCTGTCACCTAGGCTCATCACGTTTTGAATTAATATATATGGAGGGATTTGAAATATAATGATTGTAGTTGATGTGAATAAAAGTATGAGAAAGATAAATGAAAATGATAGGTTGTTAAAAAATATGTAATGGATGAGTAGTGCATTTTGTTCGTGTGGTGAGACAATAATTTATTTATGTTATTTAATTATATCAATAAAAAGTATGTAAGTTACGATGGGTTAAAGATGAGTTAGAATTTGTGTTAAAAAGTAACAAAAAAAAAATAAAAATTATCCGATTAGTAAAAAATGGATAAAATGTATTTCCTATCGCGTTAAACTCTGTTCCGAAATATAGTTACATGCTAATTCGTATGTAATCTATGTTCGTGTTTGCTAATGAGTTTTTTGGTGTTAAATTCAAGGTTTAACACATGAGAACAACTAATTTCATTGTTTGATAATGAAATGTTTGAATAATTATTATTATTTTTAAGTAAAATTTTCGAAAAGCTCAATTCATTAGCCGTTTAGGTTCGATGGTTGTGAACATTAGTTATCTTTACAAATAGCGACATCACACTATATTATTTTCAATGTCAATATAAAAAGTAGCATACACTTGAATACAAAGACTTTTGATTAATGTTAATTCTCATTAAAATTTGGAACTAGTTCAAATTAAATTAAAGTACTTAGTATACCAACTATCATTTTTAGCGATTGACACAAATGATTTAATTTATTGCTGATGAAGTGTATAGTTCTACATCTTGTTTATTTTGAGTGGGAGTAATGTTTTATTCCCCGGAAAGTTGACGTTCATTTTGTTTGCTGAAGATTTTTTCTTTATGATCTGTTAATCATCCATTGTGTTGTGATGTTTGTGTTTTATTTTATTTTTTTTGTCGGTTGTCGAAAAAAATCAGGTTGGGCTGGGAATGAATGAGTGTGGGCTGTTTGAGCTGGGGTAGCTTGGTTGATGTGGGCTGGAGTTGTGTTATAATGAGGAAATTACATCCCATACTAATATATTTAATTTATATAACACTTTTGGACTCATTATATTTTTATTTTTAAAATTAATTTAAAAAAACTGAAAAAATTTCAATTATACCTAATACACTCTATTATCCGCTATTAACTCTTTTAAATGCTAATTAGATACTCAAGATTCACTTACCTAAAAAAGTGGAACAAAATAATTCAAAACATCCTGCCAACATCACCCACGTCCCGTATCAATCTGCAAAACCTCTCGAGAACTTCTCCCAAATTCAAGTTTCAATGGCCAAAACTAAAATCCCTCATCCTCATCGAGACAATCCAACAACCAGGCCGGATCCGAATCTGAGAAGCTAGGTCGGATCGTCGAATGGACCCGGAACCTCAACAACCAGGCCAGATCCGGATCCAAGCATGGCGGAGGCTACCACCCGTTCGACTGTGGGTATGCTCGCCCATGAAATCAATAAAAAAGAAGAGAACAAATTGGCGGAGGCTACCACCCGTTCGACTGTGGGTTTTTTCTTTCCCTTTTTTTCCATCACTGTATAAAATTTTCCCCTTTTGTTAATTCTTTCTGTTGTTGTTACCCTATCAGGTGTTTGATCTTTTTTATGAGAAAAGAAATGGAGTTATTGAGTTTGAAGAATTTATCCATGCACTGAACATATTCCATCCCTATGCTCCATTGGAAGAGAAAATAGATTGTAAGAGATAACATGTGTTCTTTATGGTGTAAATTTTTACATTTTTCAGCTATGATATGATTGTTAGGACTCAGACTGTTGGGAACCACAAATTTTCATTTAGGTTGAAATAATTGAAGCTTATGTTGCACACTGCCTTTCTCATATGTATTTCCTTCATTACAGTTGTGTTCAAGCTTTACGATCTGCGACAAACTGGGTTCATAGAGCGTGATGAAGTAAGTGCTCATTTATGAGACTTCATTCTTATACAGATACAAACACGTAAACTAGAGAAGTCAACCCGAGTTTCAAGCGAAGAAGACATTATGATTGTGCTAAGTATTAATTTGACAATTCGGTTTTCTGTAATTTTTTCTTTTTTCTGGTTATGTGTTTGATATATCTAATGTAATTGTTCCATAATAAGAAAAAATTTGAACTTATAATCTTTAAATGCTATTTATCTGGTTATATGTTGGGTATATCCGAGGTAACTTTTACACTTTCTGTAATATGTTGGGTTATATGTTTGGTACATCCGAAGTAACTTTTTTCTAGTTATCTAGTTATATGTTGGGTATATTCGAGGTAACTTTTGTCTATCCGAAGTATCTTTTCTCTTTTCTATGCTATACACTTTGTCACTGGCTTTCTGCACCTGTTACACATTTTTAGTATATTTGAAGTATATTTTTGGTGTATGTCAGGTAATAATTCCCCCCCAAAATTTCGGTATATTAG